CTGTTTTTTTTTTTTTTTTTTTTTTTTTTTTTTTTTTTTTTTTTTTGCTGTACGCGGGCCTCTCACTGCTGTGGCCTCTCCCACTGAGGAGCACAGGCTCCGGACACGCAGGCTCAGCGGCCATGGCTCACAGGCCCAGAAGCTCTGCGGCATGTGGTATCCTCCCGGACCGGGGCACGAATCCGTGTCCCATGCATCGGCCGGCGGACTCTCAACCACTGTGCCACCAGGGAAGCTCTAGTTATCTGTTTTATATATAGTAGTATGTATGTGTCAATCCCAATCTACCAATTTATCCCTCCCCCACTTTACCTCCTGGTAACCATAAGTTTATTTTCCACATCTGTAACTCTGTTTCTGTTTTGTAGATAAGTTCATTTGTACCTTTTTTTTTCAGATTCCACTTTTATAAGTGATATCATATGATATTTGTCTTTCTCTGACTTTACTCAGTATAACAATCTCTAGGTCTGTCCATGTTGCTGCAGATGGCATTATTTTGTTCTTTTTCATGGTTAATATTCCATTGTATACATGTACCACATCTTCTTTATCCATTCCTCTGTTGTTGGTCATTTAGGTTGCTTCCATGTCCTGGCTATCGTAAATAGTGCTGCAGTGAACATTGAGGTGCGTGTATCTCTTGTTGGTGGGCATGTAAACTGGTACAGCCACTATGGAGAACAGTATAGAGTTTCCTTAAAAAAACTAAAAATAGAGCTGCCATATATATGATCCAGCAATCCCACTACTGGGCATATATCCAGAGAAAGCATAACGTTTTTTGATTTTTGTTTGCTTTGGGGAATTTCATTAGCCAGGAAGAAGTGCATAGATATTTAAAAAGACCTACCTAGTAAACACTTAGACTTGGTGGACATCTAAATAAAAATTAAATAACTTCATCCAAAAGTCACTTCTCAGTGTTTCACTTTCTTTTTTTTTTTTTTTTTTTTTTGGGGTACGCGGGCCTCTCACTGTTGTGGCCTCTCCCGTTGCGGAGCACAGGCTCCGGACGCGCAGGCTCAGCGGCCATGGCTCACGGGCCTACCCGGCTCCGCGGCATCTTCCCGGACCGGGGCACGAATCTGTGTCCCCTGCATCGGCAGGCAGACTCTCAACCACTGCGCCATCAGGGAAGCCCGTCACTTTCTTGATAAGAACTAATCCTGTAAGAATGCTATGAGGTAAAGAAATACAGTGTATTATTGCATATGTCAGGGTATACATTTCAAACAAGGCATTTTTCCGTTTTGCATTAAGAGCTCCTTGCTGCTTCTAATATTCTACTTCCCAGATTGGGAAATGGGAGCTACACTTTCTTGAACCCAGTCCACTTACTTGTAACTTTTCAGAGTTTTACAGGAACCAAGGCTGAGTCCTTTCTGCAGTTTGCCATTTCTTTTATTCATTTCTCGTTGATTCAGTTTCATGTTACCCTCTCCAACTGGACCAAACACTTTCTACTCTCTGTTGGTCCTTGATTTCTTCCTGTCCTGTCTCTCTTAGCACGTGCCTTCATCTTTCCTGAGATGGTCATGTCCTTTGTGTAGCTATCATTTATTGAGCATTTACTATGTGTTAAGTACTCTGTTAGGCCCTGGATTACCAAAGGTAGATAAAACTCTTACTTTCAACAAGTGAAAAGCTTAGTGGGGGAGATGGATAGTAAATTGGCTTTCTACATGAGCACTTTTGAGATATATATATTTTAACCACAGAATTTTTTCCTCTTCTTACCCTGGTTTCTGAGAAAAAAAATTTTCTTCTCCCTTCAAGGGTATCCTTTTCATTTGTTTTCTTGATCGCATTCTCTCCTAGAACCCTTTTTTTTTTTTTTTTATCATTTTCCCTCTGGCTTAGATCTTCAGTATCCTTTTCTCCCCTGGCTTTGTCCCCTTTGCCTGTGATCCTTTTTCTTCCCTGTTGTGAGAAACAAGCCATCAACACACTAACACTTCTCCCAGGCCCTGCAAACTCTCAGACCACCTTTCTCTTACTTTACTTGCTTTCTTTGCAGAATTTCTCCATAGAATGTTTGCCCTTTTCTGCCTCCTTTGTCTTTGTACTTTGCTTACTTCTTCACTTCTTTCCAGTCTAGATCCTCTAACTTCTATACCTATCTGCCCACTAAGACATTTCTCTTAGGACACAAAATATAATTATAAAATATCACAGCCACAAACATATATGAGGAATGGGATAATGAACAGCCATTTATTGAAGCTTAAGAAGTAATAACGTACAGATACATCTGAAGCCCTGGGTTAACATCCCAATTACATTGTAGCCACTGCCATTTCCTCTATCCAATACCTGCCCTCCCATCCTCAAGCAGGTTTCTGATTTTGGTATTTATCGTTCCCATGCATTTTGTTTTGCTCTTATTATATTTACTACTACTTGTTACTGTACTTGGTTTTACTGCACTCTAAATGTAGCATTGTTTCTTAGAGCATTTAAAACTCTCTAAACTCTGACTTCTCTTGCCACTGAGAACATTGGATAATCACAGTGCCCCTGTTCATGCTGCTCCTCTGTCTTCTCCCACAGTAACTGTGGGTATCCCCCAAGATGCTAACTTTGGCCACTTTCTTTTACCTGTTGTGTCCCTTCTCTATTGATGATTCTCAGATCCAATAACTACAGTGTCAACCTATTTTCTGAATGTTTCTAGTTGCCTAGTCACCAGCGTGACCTACTGTTTTCTCAAACTGAGCTTACTGTATATGCCCAGCAGCTCGTTTGTTCCCATGTCTGTTGAGAGTGCTACCAGTTTCCTGTGCTCAGAATATCAGAGCTTTAGTGTCATCTTTGGCTCTTCTCATTTGTTACACACATCAGTCATCCTTGTCCCCTGGATTTTATCTCCATGTTGTATCTTGCTCTTTTTTCCCCAGCCCTATTGCCTGTAGTCTTTTCACCCAGATTGTTATAATAGCTATCCTAATTGGTATCTTTGCTTCTGTCTTTTCACACTTCAGTCCGTCCGTCATGCTGTTGCCAGATAAATCCTCTTCAAGTACAGTAATGTTCATACTGTGCTGCTGTTGAGAAGCTTTCAGCAGTCTTGACTGTTGATGGATAACAGGATAAATAGCAACTCTTCCTAGTGACATACAGGACCCGTCCCATTATAATAGTTCCCACTGACCAGTCTACCCCTTTCATTCATCATTGCTCTACACAGATTCCACCTTAACGTTCTAGTCCAACTGGACCACTTCTTTTGGGTGTCTCCTTTCCATTGGCCTCGGTACTCTGATTCAATGTTTGACAGCTCTCACTTCTCTTCTTTTTTTTTTTTTTTTTTTAATTTTTTGGCTGTGCCATGTGGCATGTGGGATCTTAGTTCCCTGACCAGGGATCAAACCCACATCCCCTGCGTTGCAAGTGCAGAATCTCAACCACTGGACCACCAGGGAAAGTCCAATGGACCACTTCTTTAGGAAAATTATCAGTTCTTAAGTTCCAGTGCAAATGCTGCTTCTGCTTAGAAACTTTCTCTTCCCATACCAGCTGGAAGGAATCTCCTTTTCTTAAGTCCTGTACAGTTTGGCTGCTACCTCTACTTATCACGTTTTATTAAGGTTGTTTTTGTACATGGCTTATCTGTACTAGATTATACATCTGGCTTATCTGTACTAGATTGTATCTGGCTTATCTGTACTAGATTGTAAACTTCTCGTGAACAGGGACTATATTTTAACTTTCGTGTTCCCCGCACCTTCTTGTAGTTGGCAAGTAGGGCTTTGATCAACATTCCCTAACAGTGGCTAAAAGTGCTTAGTTTAAAATATGTCTTTATAACACATGGAAGAAAAGGGAGCTAGAAACTGAGCTAGTCAGGGCAAAAGTGTATATACCTTATCAATCAGCAAATTATTCACTTCTTCCCACTTTGTTACTTCCATTCTCTCCAGGACTTATTTAATGGTTGGCTGCTGTCAGCCTTAGAGACTGTTAACTCTTAAAAAGTGTTTAGGTGGTCAGAGGAGTGGATTTGCAATTGTTTTTGTTTTTTTTTAAATCTGTTTTAATGTACTCAGTGTCTCCAAATAATACTGTCTGCAGAGTATGTGTAATTTCCTTCCCAGTCTCTCAACAGGCATGACTAGCACCCACTCCAAATAGCCATAGTCACAAGTCAGAGAATAGGCTTAATGAGCAGGGCGGGCAAGCACCTTTCAGGATCCCCTGTTGTGGAGTTGATGCTGCTCAAGTTGAGGTATGTTTAAGCCTCTTGGATACACTCCCATTCTGGCACCACCTAGGTAAGGTATCTCTCACCTAAATATTTGTCTCCCTCCCTTTTACGGTCTTTCACACTCATCACCATTTTGTGAAACTCAGGTATTTGCTTGATTCCTCACACTTACTACCCTTAAAGAAATCATTGCAAGCAGTACATTGAGTGGCAGTTACATGAATGATTTTTGACTGTGATAAAGTATCTGTCTTCTTCTTCCCCTTCTCTTTTCTCTCCCCCTCCCCCCTTAGTTTTTCTTTTCCCTCCCTTTTTTCTTTCTTTTACATAGTTCTAATTTATTGTTTTCATCGTTTACTAGCAGTACCATTCACAGTAGCAGTAGTAAACTTTTAGAACCGAAGTATAACATGCATACAGAAAAGTGTACAAATCATAAGGGTATATGGCTTGGTGAATATTTACAAAGTGATCATACCCAGAACCACCAATGAGATGGAGATACAGGACACCACCTGGACCTCAGCAGCTTTCCTTGTGCCTCTTGTAGTCACTACTCCCCAAAGAAGGTCATCACTATTCAGAACTAAGTTACCCATTAATTCTTCCTATTTTTAATATGCTGTTAATGAGTTTCTGGCATCTTCTGAGTTCCTTAATTTTGAAAACATTATTCAGGTTTATTCAAACTTGCTTTGTTTCAACATTTTCTTCATTTAAATAAGTATATCTATCTATCTATCTATCTATCTATCTATCTGTCTATCATCTATCTATATGAAATAGCCTCTGTGGTTTTCCTAAGATTATGAAACTTCACATATACTAGTATTTCACTTTTTTTTTTTTTTTTTTTTTTTTTTTTTTGTGGTACGCGGACCCCTCTCACTGTTGTGGCCTCTCCCGTTGCGGAGCACAGGCTCCTGACGTGCAGGCTCAGCGGCCGTGGCTCACGGGCCCAGCCGCTCCGCGGCATGTGGGATCTTCCCAGACCGGGGCACGAACCCATGTCCCCTGCATCGGCAGGCAGACTCAACCACTGCGCCACCAGGGAAGCCCCCAGTATTTCACTTTTTAAACTTATTTTTTAAGTTTGTGAATTTCATTTAAGAGGGTACCATCAGCAGGGTTGCTTTTTTCTGTGACAGCTCTAAAAGCAGTGTTGGATTAACTGGGTGCCTACGAGAATCTCAATCTTCCTTCCCGACAGTAATTTGAACTATTATTATGATAAGTTCACTGGGGCTGCAAGTTTCTTGGGTCTGCAGACTTTAGAAGGAAGTAAATAGAGAAATTAGCACTATCTTTACAGTCCTTGTAGCTCTTCATGGTTATAAAAACTAATTGCCTGCTGTATGCTCCCCAGCCTGTTTTTTGATGCTCATTTAAGGAAACATGTTACTGGTTGTTTTCCTTTAGACTTTCTCATAAAACATGAACTTTACATTATGGTAGGAAGAAGCCATTGTCACTGTTCATAGCTGAGAAAAGATGAATAAAGTCACTTTTCTGTCTTTAAGCCAAAACAGGGTAGGTAAAATATTTTTCTTTCTTTTTTTTTTTTTTTGGAGGCTCGAGATTCATGCCAACCTCAGATGCTTTTGCATCTGCAAATGTCCTGATTCTAAGGATTCATCATTTCCCTAACATTTTATAAACTACCTCATCTACCACACCCTACCCAAGTTCTCTTTATTTAAAATTTTTTTTAGAGCATATCAAGGGATTATGGCATTTGGATATATCCCTGAAAACACATCCTTGATGTGTTTCTCTGAAATTGAGGCCCTGATTAGGCTGTCAGCAGATGCTGTATCACATCGATTTGTGCCAGTTGGTACAGAGACAAGTGTCAACCAGAGCGGTTTCTCCCTTTTGCCATAGAAGGATGAAGTGTTTAGGTAGTATTTGCTTATGGGGGATTTCCTGCCACTGCTGAAAGTGATTTAAATCTCTGTCCTATTCAAGCTTAATTTTAGGAGGCCTGTTTTCCCCATAGTCTGAGATAACATTATGATGTTTTCAGTGCACAAGCTTCTCCCTCAGTGTAGCTGATCAATTTTTTTGGTACAGCAGTTATTGTTGTTGTTATTTTTTGGTCATGTGCTCTCATATGGTATTCCTGTGAGTAAACACTAGAGCATTTAGTACCCATGATGCTTTGGCAAAAAACAAACTAACCAAAAATCAAAGGTATGCCTGCGTTTCTTGTCCCCTGAAATCCTCAAGCTATTCTGGCTGAGGTTTCTATGTACTGAAATGCCCAGTGCAGGCTGCCAGGGCTGTCTGGAGAAGGTGTAGTTGTAAACAGTTTTAAATTGTAACATGTACAATTTTAACACAGAATCTCGTAGAGGAGAGAGGGGCCAGTGATTGAGACTGGCAATCCAAGGGGACAACACCATTTTTTTCCTCCTTCATTTGAATCTGTAAAGATCCTTAACTGCATTTTGAATTGGTTAATCCATGAGCTGTCAGCCCAAATTTATGTCCCAGAATTTCAGAGAATAAGCAATAGGATTGATGTCTCCAAAGAGGAAGATTTATAGAAGACTACAGGTGCATAGTTCAGTCCATTCATACACAAGCGGGCACAGGGTTAGATTCAGTAGTTGGCAGCATGCATCATCTTTTTAATCTGGATTAAAGGCGGCTGCATTCAGGTGTGCCTAGATCATCTGGTAAATTGAGACACGAATGAGAATTGTTAACTAAGAAACGTTTTCTGGTTTTCTTAAAATTTAAATGCAGGGATCCAGCTAGTAGAATCCAAAAATTTTCTTCAAGATCATCAGACTTTGCTTCTGTAGAATAATTGGCGGTTGAAAGAGGGGTACTTCAACTCTTACAAGGCTGGTAATGGAAGGAAATTAGGAGCCAGTGGAGAGTGGGAGATGTAGGTGTGATAGGTGAATCCCCTTCAAGGATAGCGATGTGTTCATATCTGAACTCTATCTTAAAAGCTGCTTTTTAATCTCCTTTCCTTCCTTTCCCCCAAAACATGCAGGCAGAGTAGAGTAATAGTTCATCTTTTTGTATGATTTTGGGGGGGGAGGGGTGAATTTTCACTGTCTTGGCATCAAATGACCTATATGACTCAAGGGAAAACAGGCAGCTTAGATTATGATATAATTATTCACAAAGGGGAAACCTCAGTGGAAATTATTGTTTTACGTTTTCTCTATTCTTTGTAGTGAGTCAAAGAATTTTCCCCCTTAGCCTCACATAGAAAATGAAACTTTACACAATAAAAAGTAGGGATGGCAGGTCTCAAAGGGGAAAAAGGTTGCTGTCAAATTTTTTTCTCTGGAATATGGAAATTTGGGTGGATTATCTGCTCAGAGGAGGTTTCCTTTATTAATTCTTTTTCCTTTTTACACTTAAGACATCTGTTAACATTTCACACAGCCCAACAGATGTTGCAAAGCAAGTCCCATACTTTGTTCTCAAGAAAAATGACTTTTCCTCGATTGGTTCCCCGCACCTCTGTGACTGGGCCCAGCCTGCTGCTTCTGCATAATTTGCATATATTAAGTTATATACCTTAATGCCATATGAATTTGTAGCTTCAGCATTCTTTTTATACTGTAAAGTGTGATTTGATTAGAAACTAGTTTACATGTTGAGAGGTCATAATGTTTAAAAAAATCTCCGTTGAGAATGGCAGCCTAATTCCACAGATAGGATTGGATAGCCAATTATTGAATATTTTTCTCTATAAAATATGTGAAGTACAAAAGCTTGAGTTGTTTTGCCACAAGGAAGTGCTGATTGTCATGCGATGTGGAGCATCATTTTTATTATTTTGGCAAGAACAGGGACAGTTTTGTCTTGACAAGCCATTAGATGAATACCAGCTTGTGTCACATGAAAAACCACTGATCTTTAACCCAGCTCTGTACTTAACCAAGCCTTGAAAATGAATAGTGAATAAAAGAAGAGCAAAGGCCAGTTTACTGTCATTACAGATTACAGAATCTGTTAACAGCTGCTGAACTGAACCCAGGGAATTACAGGTATTGTTCCGTGAACCAGCAGAAGTCCTACAGATGCTTGTTAAACTGTGTATATAAATTGTACATTTATTTGATATTTGCTTAGGATTTACATTGTTGGAAACATAGCTAGAAAAAAGGAAAATTCTTGAGTAATTTCTCAGTGTACTAAATGTATGCCTTTATCACAAAACCATATATGTTTATATGAAACTATCTCAGTGATGCTTCCTTACCTCCACTTATGGAACTTATTTTAAGAAAGTAATGTGCCTTTCAAAGAATTATAATAAGTATCAAAAAGAAAAGAAAAAGTATGCAGTCCCCCCCCCCAAA